CTTTGCTCTTTCAGATTCTTACACTAGGGAGATAATACGATGTTTACACATGAGAGTCTGATTTATTTCACTTATAAGTATGGTTTCTAGTTGCATCCATTTACATGTAAAAGCCTCAAGTTTATCTTTCTTTATAGCTGAGTAATATTTCATTTTATAAAAGTACCACATCTTTTTTATCCATTTCTCAGTTTATGGGCATTTGGGTTGTTTCCAAGATTTAGCTATGACAAATTGTGCTGCCATAAACATGAGTGCACATATATTGCTGTGATATGATGTTTTCATTTCTTCTGGAAAAATACCCAGAAGGGGAATATCAAATGGGTATTCTATTCCCATTCTATATTCCCATTCTATTCCCATTCTATTCGTAGGGTCGAATGGGATCTCTAATCCTAGTTTACTGAGAAATCTCCAGACTGATTTCCACAGTGGTTGTACCAGTCTACACTCCCACTAAAAGTGGAGAATGGTCCTTTTCCCCTACCACCCCTCCAGCATTTGTTAGTAGTTGATTTCTTGATGATAGCCATTCTTCTGGGAAGAGATGGAATCTCACTGTTGTTTTAATTTTCATTTCTTGAATGACTAATGATGTTGCACATTTTTTCATGTATTTAATTGCATTTATGTTTCTTTATTGGAGAAGTGTGTATTCATCTCAGATGCTCAGTTTTGGAACAGGTCTTTGAATTTCAGGAGCATGGTTTTAAAAAATTCTTTATATGTTCACAATAGAAGTCCTTTGTATGAGGGACAGTTGGCTAAAATTTTTTCCTAATTCATGGGTTTTCTTTTTAGTCTGTTGGTGATTTATTTTGATGTGCAAAAACTTCTCAGTAGGATGAGACCTGAGTTGTTGATTCTTTGAAGTATTTCCCATGCAATTTGGTTTTTGTTCATGAACTCTCTGCCTCTGCCTGTTTCAAGATTTCTGCCTAATTTCTCTTCAAGTACATTTCATGTTTCTGTATTAATATTAGGTTTTTGATCCACTTTGATTTTAGCTTAGTGCACGTTGATATACATGTGTCCAGTTTTAGTTCTTGGCATGTGGAGAACTAGTTTTTCCAGTAGCATTTATGAAAGGGCAATCTTCCTTCCAATGAACATGTTAGGGCCCTTTGTCAAAGATAAGGTGGCTGTGTGTGTGTTGTGATTGTGAATGCATTTGCTAGTCTCTTCCATTGATCCTCCAGTCTGTTTTTTGCCAATAGCATGATTTTATCACAGTAGCTTTGTAGTATAATTTCAAGTCAGGGATTGTGATGCTTCCTGCCTTTCCTTTGCTGCCCAGGATTGCTTTTGCTATTCTGGGTCTCCTCTGGATCCAGATGAATTTTA